TTAAAGTCCTACATGGTTTGGATCCAGGTTAGGGCCTCTACAGACTGGCAAGAAACTCTAGCATTGGGGTGGAGTTGGGGCATGGTGACTGCATGCCGCACGCTCTGACTCTACCTTGATGCCAGCATCACGCCATGTGCCCGACTGCACAGCAGGCAGTGTCACACAATTTCCTTGGTGCAGCATTTAGACATGTTGTGCTAAAGAAACACTGAAAAGCAGCCACCACGGCAGCAAGGGCAACTTTTTGCCACTCTAAAAAGAAGTGGCATTTTGCCATTTCTTTTTAGAGTGACAAAGTGCTGGATTGGGGCCATGGCATGTGCTTGGTGTGACCCCAATCTGGCGCTGAAAGGGGTGGTGGGACACTGCTCTATCGGGGCAGTCTACTTATAGGATTGTCACCTCCTGTATAATCTGCCCCATACACTCAGGTCCTCTGGGATACATTTACTCCAGTCATCCAGAGGACTTCAGTGGCCTCTAGGCCAGGGGTAGGCAACCTTTCCCCTTTAAGGGCCGAGGGACTTCAGCTCCCAGAAGCCTCAGCCATGTTGGCCAATAGTCCCATGTTGGCCAATAGCTCCTGGGAAAGGTTGCCTACCCCTGCTCTAGACTATAGAACCACCTGCCAAAAGAGATTCGACAACTGAATATGCTGTCTGAATTGGAAACAGCATTAAAGACCAGTTTCCTCTGGTAGACCTCTTCAGATTATTTTTAAATTACAAATTGAAAATTATAAATTTTAAACAACAGATTGATTATTTTAGTATGTATTTGTCTTGTTTGTTCTTTTAAACTGATGTGTGTTTTAACTGATATTGTATGTTGTATATTAATCTGTTGTTGTTCTCCACCTTGATCCTTGGGGCAGCAACTGTGGAGATGGTAGAAAGGTTTTTAGAAAGATGGGTGGATTGATAGATAGATGATAGATAGGCAAAGATATGTGTGGGGTTGCAGTCTAACTGTCTCCATAGGTACTGCATATGTTGAGATATAGGATGGGATAAATTTGTTTTAGTAAATAAATAAATATCTGATGGGCGGGAGGTACACCCATCAAAAATATTCCCAGCATGTCTGCCAACATGAGGTCATATGTTACACAGTATCATGAAACAGTCAGAATAATTTAATTATCTCAGGCATATATAAATAGATACAAATATTTTTAATAAGCAATATTTCAGACCTTCAGCCCACACTCTTCTGTTAGACAATCTATAAACATATTCCACCAGCATCCAATTTCTCCACTTAATTAGAAGTTAATTATATTCGGTGCAACAGGTACCTTGGGAGGGAACTTCCCATATCCCCCGATGTACTGATGGCTGTTTCAGATTGTAGTCTCCTTTGAAATGCATTCAGGAATCCTTTAATCTCTCCCTCTTTCAATGGGGCATTATTTAATAGGCCACGGCCATGGCACTACCACCCTCCATCTACCCCTTGTGCCTTACTTTAGTAAATACCTTTGAGTGAGTCATCAGGTTTAATATTAAATTAAAACACAAGTGCAGCTGATAGCATGCTGGGTGCACCTTTTGAAGTTCTTTTTCTTCTAAGTACAAACTCAAAGAAAGGTGCTCCATTTGCAAACACCAGTTCTTGAACTGTAGCAACTTGAGTACTGAACACCTTGTGTCTACAAAGCATGCATGATTCTTCTTGTGTTAAGCAGCCCAGTTTTGCACAAAATGACAGCTTTATGCTGAGGGGGATATACTCCCTTCTATTGCAGGGAAGGTAACATGGAGGATGCTAGATTTCTGAAAATGTTATTGTATCTGATCATTTAGGGCTGAATTGGCATCAACCTTTCTGCAGTGTTTAGTCATATAGTTTCGTTACAAGTGAGATACTGAGATACAGCTTGTGCTCTCCAGTTGGTGGGACTGTGACAACCACAAGCAGGGTCTGTGCTGTGGTCAGGAGTTATGGGAGTTGTAGTCTCAAAACTTCGGAGGTATCTGGTTATCTACCATGTTACATGTGAAAATGGCTTCCATTCATGCACAAACTTGCTTTTCTGGTCATTGCAGGCAGTACCTGTGTAGAACATGCTTAAATACCCTAAAGGCAGCAGATCCTGCCTGATCTTGGAAGCTAAGCAGTCAGCCAACAGATGCCAGGTGCTGTAGGCTCTATTTCAGAGGAAGGAACTGGCAAAACCACCTCTGAGGATCCCTTGCATAAGAAAACCTTATGAAATGTACGTGGTCTCCATCAGTTGACAGGTGACCTGAAGGCACACACAAACACACACACATAAAGAGGAACATCAGTATGACCAAAATGCATTCTCAGTTGCAAAGATGAATAGCTCTATATGCTGGCAGATTAAAATATAAAGAAGCCTTAAAGGGCAACAGGCCACCAAAATGGTAAAGAAAGCAGCAGTAAAAAGTCTGCATAATGTTAAGTCTTCAGCAGAAAAGTTTAGACACCAGAAAGTTGGATGGAAACATAATATCACTGTACTCTCTTTATAGCAAGGAACATTGGAAAAAAGGAAACAGTGCTTGACAATGATTAGAAAATAGGAATCGGCAACATTTCTGGTTCCTAGAAATGGAGCCCTGGATTGCCTTGCATCGCAGTGGTGAAGAACAGGCATCCATTATGACATTTAGAACTGCATCACAGTCATTATGTTTCAATATATAATTTTTCAAAGGTTTTTTCAAAGTAGTTTCAGCTCGTGTGATTAGTATCGTGGATAAACTACTCATAAATTCTCCTGTGATGTTTACAAATGATTTTTAAAAACTTGTTGTCTGTATATATTCATCTCACTTTTTAAGTGAACTCAGCATAGCAGGAACTGAAGAATGAAGCATGGTTTCAATTTCATAGAACCAGTGTGAAAAAGAAAAAGAATGGCGAGATAAAATGTCTAGCTCCCCTTGTAATATTTCTTAAGCCAGTTTATTCAGTGTAAGGAGGTGATCTGATGTATTGTGCCAATCAGAAGCTGGAAGCACTACTGTTGTGAACTATGGCCAGCACTGTCACAGGGAGTTATAGCCCAAACAGTATTTTCCCAAACTCTGCCAGTCTCTTTTCTCTCCCCTCCCTAAACTCCAATCCCAGGATTCCACATCAAAGAACCATGGCAATTAGAGTAGAATCATATCACTGAAATTGTGTTAAAGGGCCCTGGATTTCAGTGATTCGTTATTGTTTGGAAACCTCACTAAGGGTCTAGCCACACTGCAGAATTAAAGCAGTTTCATACTACTTTGCCACATCTCTGTCCAACAGAATCCTGGGATTTGTAGTTTGGTGAGGTATCCAACCTGGTCTGTCACAGCTCTGGTGCATTAAACTACAAAGCCCATGATTCTGTAGGACAGAGTCATGGCAGTTAAAATGCTGTCAAACTGCTTTAAGTTTGCAATGTGGCTACACCTTTTGTCTAAAACAGGGTTGTTAAATTGCAATCCCAATTTGGCAGGGGCTGTCCTCATTAATCCTCTGTTGTCCCACTTTTTCAGCTGCATTTAAAATGTCCCATTTTCAATCTCCTCCTCCTAATTTCATCCTTCATTGTCAGCATACTTCAAATGCTATGAGCAAATAAATAATGGTAGCTAAACCTAGCTGTCCAGTGCTACTGGAGGAACAGGGCCATGAGCCACATCTTGTCCAACTGTTGAGGGCCTCATTCCCACTTATAAATAAATCAGTTTGTGATCCGAATCGATGGATAGGTTCAATAGCAGAGTGTGGTTCACACTACATTTGCCCCGATTGCATTTTCTTGTTGAAAAATAACCCACTTGTCGTTCACATTGACTAATGAATCGATTCAAAATGGACCCTCTTCAGCCAGCTGGCAAATTTAAAAGGCAAATTTAAATCAGTTCCGATCCACATCCCACTTGCGCTGAATCGATATATTGCAAAAAATGCAGAAAAAATGAACGTCAAAAAGACGCACGTTAACTGGGTCTAGTGGAGGGCCCAACCTCACCAAACTGCTTCAACTATTCAGCTAAAGTGCGAACCAGGGTCATTTAAACCATTTCAAACTGGTTAGCAAATCCGGTTTATAATGCAGTGGGAATGAGGCCTCAGTTTGGCAGAGACAGTCCCCAATTAATCTTCTGTGTGCCTTCTTTTCAGTTCCTTTAAACATATCCCAATCTTTTCTCTCTTCCCCCCACTTTCTCCCTTAGGAGTTTATCACACTGGGGAAATCCCATACGGAAATGGGATTTAAAAGGTGGGGTAAACCCTCAAAAGCAGTTAGATTGTCACAGACATCGCTGTTAAAATGGGGTTAACCTGAACGGGAAGTAGTCAGAAACTACTTCTTTTTACTTTCGGGATTTTCTGAAAGTAAAAAGAAGCAGTTTCTGAGTACTTTCCATTCGGGTTAACCCCATTTTAACAATGACGTCATCAGAAAAATCTAACTGCTTTTGCAGTTTTTTTCCAATTTAAAGCCCCATTTCCGCACAGGATTTCCCCCGTATCTGCAGCATTTCTTAGCTTGTGTGTTCTTTCTCATTAATAACATTTGCCATCATGACCACACTCTTGAACACACATCCCAGTTTTCATCTGTGAAATGTTGGAGGGTATGTATTGTACCAGGCTTGGGGAAAAGTGTGGGTCACATAAAGCTCAAAGCCCATTTTTAATTCCCTAATATCCCTCCAGCTTAAAAAATAGATTTTTTAAAAAAATATTTTTTAAAAAAATCTTTTTTTTTAAATCTATTTTTTAAAACTCAAAATGTCCCTATGTCCAGTAACTATTTTTGTGTGGATGTGGGTGGATTCTGCCATGCTTTTGTCTCCTCGAGGCATTTTAAGCCTCAGGATCGTCTTCAAAACTATCAGTATTTCTAATTGACATCCTATCTTTGAAAAAGGCATTTTGGGGGCCCTAAAACATTCCAGATTTATTCAGGCCACATTTGCCATGGCCTTCCTCTGAAGCTGAGAGCATGTGACTTGCCCAAGGTCACCCAGTGGGTTTTATGGCTGAGCAGGAAATCGAACCCTGGTCTCCTGTGTTGCAGTCCAACACTCAAACCTCTATGCCACACATTATAGATATTTTCCTTTTAGGGCTAGGTGCACTTTTACATCTCATACTATTTTATTTTGCTGCAGGTTTTTTTGTTTGTTTGTTTTATAAGCTGCATTGTTTTTACCTTTTGCTCCTGGGTTTATCATAGCTTTAGAATGTGCTGTTTGTATCTTTCTTTGTTGTTTATATTTTATATTTTTAATTTTCTTGTAAACCACACAGAGAAATCTGGCTACAGGGTGGTCTAAAAGTGCAATCGGTCAATCAATAACATTTTTAGTGATGCCCTATGAATTTACCACCTCCCTCCTTCCCTTTCTTGTATCCCTGGCTGTGGAATAAAAGTAATATCTTTTATGAATCTCTCTTTTTGGAGCAGGGGGATCTGCAGGGACAACTAGTCAGTTTAAGCTGGATTGTGTCTGCTCTGTTGGCATAAGGTAAGAGATGGTGCTTACTTTAATGGGGCAGGAAAATAAATGATGTGTAATGCCTGGATCATGCCATGACCCTACTGTGCACTTTGGACCATGCCAGAAAAACAAAACAAAACAAACAAAACAAAAACCCAAGCAAGCAAGCAAACAAAAACCCTGGGTGTGGTTTTGATGCTTTGAGCGAAAATCACATCAGGCTCTGAACTGCAAATGGTTCCTTTCACCCACCACTTAAGTAGAGGTGGGCAAAAGGATTGTGACTGAAAAAAGGCAGTGAAGAAGGAGCCAGAAGCATTAGTTCTGTCCTGGGTTGATCCAGGTTCTTTTGCTGCCTGAGGCAAACAATACATTTGTGTCCTCACTCTTCCCAAGACTGGACTAGCAAATGACTCTTTCTTCAACACTGTTTTCCATTGTACCTAACAATCACAGGCTAACTTAGGGGCAAGAGGGCAGGCCATGAAGAACACAGCTGTCTCTTCCGGTGCCTCAATGGTGTCTTATTGTATCTGCCATCTGAGGTGCCTGGCCCACTCTTCCTAATGGTGAGCCCTGCCATCACAGGTGGGGAACTGAGGTATACCAGTTCAAAAGTAACATCAGTTCTTTGAGTGGTACTGGAACTGGAGAATGTTATTCATTTGGGCTACAGCTCTCCCAGTTGCCCAGACACCCAGTGGCCAATCTGAGTTGGGTAGTTCTGGGAGCTATAGTTCAAAAATGTGGATTTTTTTTAAAAAAGCTCTGGTCCTATTTATTTTTACTACTTTACCGCTGTCTTTTTTTATTAGTACAGTTACCCCTCCATTTGTGCAGGGGATCCATTCTGGAACACCCCCTCACAAAAACGGAAAAGTGCAAATATTCAAACCCCATAGGCTTGAGTGGGGGCGCATGCCCACAGGTACCCACGGGCACGCACCATGGGCACACACCCCATTCTATCCCCCTCTGTTTGCTGCCTGCGAATGAGCAGGGGATGCAGACTTGAAGTCCACAAAAACAGAGGGCAGCTGTACTTTATTAAGAGGAAATGCAACCAGAATTCTTACAGCAACTGTCTACTAGACCATATAAAATGAATATCCTTAACCCTGGCTTGCTCTTCGAAGGAGCTATTCAGACTATAAAAATAATCCAGGATGAATCCAGGTTAAATCTCTATTGTTTATATGCAACCTGAATGCATCAAATTCAGTTGGGGAGGCTGCCAAAAAACCCGCTTAACCCAGGATAATCGGTACTGGATGTTTTTCCAAGTTTTCCCAAAAGATTTGCATCATCAGCAGTGTTAATAACTAAGGCAAATAGACCTGGGATTAAATCCTGGAAGTGTAGTAAGCATAAAATATGGAGAGATGCAAAGAGATGCAGTTTAGATGAAAAAATTGTGTGAATAACAAACCTGGAATGTGTGAGTTGGCTTATTCAAATCATCACACTAAAAAAAACAAAACACTCAATGTCTGAATGATCCCCAAGAAAAACCTGTTTTGCTGAATTCAGACTTTTTACATCAGTCTGTGGGCATCACAATTCCAGGCAATGAGTTAATGGAAAAAGAGGAGGGATTACTGCTGTGTACTTCCCCCAGATTTATCAGTGTAAAAAATGCTCTTTAATTCTCTGTGATTTTTTTTAAAAGAAGGCTGTGAAGATGACAGATAACAGAAGGAAACCCCAGCAGTAAATGTGGAACACAAAAAAGATTGACAAAACTGAGCCACTGCTGCTGTGTGTAAACATGCAACTAGGTAGTGATTTCCAAAGCAGATACTTAAATACAAAGGTGTGGAATGCCCTGGAAACCAACCCAGCCCCACAATGGTAAGCAGTTGTTAGGCTATCAATTGATTTTAGCCAGCCTGGCCTGTATAGCACAAAGATCTGCAAAAAAATTTAGTGCTCTTCAAACATGCTCTGGAAATAGGGTTGCCATAATTCTCTACCACCAAACAGGAACAAAATGTAGAAAAAAGTAGGACAAATGTAGGTCAAAATGTAGGACAATCAAGAAAAATGGAGGACACAACCAACTAAAAGCCAAAAACATTAATAATTAAAAAAACATTAATATAAATCCATGCTTCTTAGTCATGCTCAAAATGGAGGAGATCTTGACATTCTTCCGGGACAGAAAATTGAAATGTAGCTCCTCCTCTCCGGAAACAACTTGAAGGCACACAACAACAAACATAATAAAATACATCTGAGGAAGTAAAATTCAAAGAAATAGATATCTTGTTGCACCTCTGAAACTAAATGCATCTGAGGAAGCATTTTAGGAAAGCTCATGCTGCCAACTTCTATCTTTCAGTTAATAATAATAATAATAATAATAATAGAATTTAAAACATAGAGATTATGGAGCACCTCTGAAATTAAATGCATCTGAGGAAGCAAACTTTAGTTTAGGAAAGCTCATGGTGCCAACTTCTTTCTTTCAGTTAATAATAATAATAATAATAATAATAGAATTCAAAGACATAGAGATTTTGGAGTAACTTTGAGACTAAATGGCAGCAGACTTTAGTCTAGAAAAGCTCATGCCCTGCTGAAAGCATGGCCAGGGAGGCCAAGACAGTAGAGGCAGCCCCAACCCCACCCCCCAGCCCCGGTGAGGCCTACCAGGCTCACCTGCCTTACCTGAACCTGGTGCCTCTGCTGTCCTCCAGCGCCTCCACAGTCCTCCTTGCCACTGCGGCCTCCCTCCATCTCCTTGGACCCCAGCTAGCCAGGGGAAAGGCTTTGGCATGGAGGCCTCCCTCCTCAGAGCCTTGCAACTGCGGCCTCCCTCCATCTCCTTGGATCCCAGCCAGGTGGCTGAGACCCCGTCCAGCTCCACCACTGCCGGAGGAGAGGCCTTGCCACAGAGGCCTCCTTCCTTGGCCCCTGTGGGGCCTCAGCCTCCTCTCCATCGCTGCCAGGGGAAAGGCCTTACTGCAGAGACGGCTGAGGCCCTGTGCAGCAGGCAGTGGTGCAGCCCCATCCCAACTCCCCCCAACTCCAACTAGGCTTTGCATGCCACCACCACTGTACAGAAAGCACAGCAGGAGACAACGGCGGCGGCGGCGGAGGAGGAGGAGGAGGAGGAGGAGGGAGCCAGGACTGGCTCCAAACCCAGGCTGGGACATTCACAAAGGGTTAAAAACCATGAACGCCCTGGCAAAAACTGGGATATGGCAACCCTATCTGGAAAACTAAGCCTGCAATATCAAAACCAGTGAACAATTTTACATGCTCCAGCCCCAACAAAGACCTGGTGCAATTATTAAAGAAAGTCAAGGAGGAAAGTGCCAAGGGGGGCTTAAAGCTGAACATTAAGAAAACAAAAATAGTGACCATGAAAGATCTACAAGAATTCAACCTAGATAATGAGAAAATTGAAATAGTCAGAGAGTTCCGATACCTTGGATCAAACATTGATCAGAACAGAGACTGCAGTTAAAAGATTAAAAGAAGACTAGAATTGGGGAAGGGCAGCTATGAGAGAACTAGATAAGATCCTAAAGTGTAAGGATAGAACTCTGAACACTAAAGTGAGGATCATCCAAGCCATTGTATTCCTCATCACTACGTATAGATGGGAAAACTGGACAGTGAAGAAAGCTGATAGAAATAAAATCAATTCATTTGTGATGTGGAGCTGGAGAAGAGTGCTGAGGATCCTGTGGATTGCCAAAAAGATAAATAAATGGGTCCTAGAACAGAACAAGCCTGAACTCTCCCTAGAAGCCAAGATGAGTTAAGGCTGTCATACTTTGGCCACATCATGAGAAGGCATGAATAACTGGAAAAAACAATAATGCTAAGAAAGGTAGAGGGCGGTAGAGGGAAAGGAAGAGTGCATGCTAGATGGCTGGACTCAATTAGAGAGGCCACAGACCTGAGCTTGCAGGACCTGAGTAGAGCACTGGAGGACAAGGGGTCTTGGAGATGTCTCATCCATGGGGTCACTATGAGACAAGATCCACTTGAGGGTAGTCAACAACAACAACAAGCCCATTAGCACCAAAAATAAAATAATAATTATCCTTCCTTCTTGGTAACTTTGCAACAGTTGTAGTACAAGATTATTTTTCTTTAGTTGTTGTGGCTGTCTATTTTATATAAGTATCACATTTATTTAGCTTGCTATTTCTTTATTTTGTTTAAATCATGCCTCAGATTTGTGAAAACAGTGCTGCCATGTAACTTTATGGGATGTGACTGCTTTGGCCATTGGCCCTACATCTTCTGCTGCTAAAGCTCCTTGATCAGTATCTGAAATTGCAGAGCATTGTTTATTTGTAGCACTTCTGATCTCATGCACTGAAATCCATCAGTTGCATTGCACACATGCAAACTGGAGATTTTGAAGCAAAAGAGAGACAAAGCCTATCAAGAGGCAGCACGTAAAGATAAATATCTGCCTCAACAGTCACATAAATGATGGTTTTGAAGACAGGAAATTAATGTTTATTAGATCCAAAACTAAACAATTGTTCACCTTCATTTTTAAAGTCCATTTTCCCCAAAAGAGAAATTCCTGAGGAAGTTAAAACATACACTCAAAAAATTGGTTTATTTCAAAATGAAAAGAA